CACTTCCTAAATATAACACCAGTAGCACAGACACTGAGAGCAACAATTAATAAATAGGACCTCCTGAAACTGAGAAGCTTTTGTAGAGCAAAGGACAAGGTCAACAAGACAAATTGACAGCCTACAGAATGGGAAAAGATCTTCACCAACTCCACATCTGACAGAGGGTTGATTTCCAAAATATATAAAGAACTAAAAAAAGCTAGACTTCAAAATACTGAACAATCCAATTAAAACATGGTCTATAGAGCTTAACAGAGAATTCTCAACAGAAGACTCTCAAATGGCTGAAAGACATTTAAGGAATTGCTCAACATCCTTAGTCATCAGGGAAATGCAAATAAAAATGACTCTTGACATACCATCTTATACCTGTCAGAATGGCTATGATCAAAAGAAGACATCCTGGCTGTTTGGAACCTGGGGCCTATGCACGGACACTTTGCTCAGCCTGGGTGAAGGGAGGAGGAGACTGGACCTGCCTCGACTGAATCTACCAGGCTGAGTGGAATCCCCAGGGCAATCCTTGCCCTGGAGGAGATGGGATTGGGGGCGGGCGGGAGGAGGGAGGACATGGGAATCCGTGGCTGATATGTAAAATTAAATTAAATTATAAAATGTATAAAAAAGGAAATAGGCTATCTATGTTTCTAGGAGCAAAATTAACTACCTAGAAGTTATTTTGTAAAAATAAAAATGTTTATAAAAATAAAGAAAAAAAAAGACAGCTTATGTTGGAGAGGATGTGAATCAAGGGGAACACTCCTCTACTGTTGGTGGGAATGCAAACTTGTACAGCCACTCTGGGAAAAATCAGTATGGCAGTTTGTCAGAAAATTGGGAATAAGTCTTCCTCAACACCCAGATATACCATTCTTGGGCATATGCTCACGGAATGCTCAATCTTACCACAAGGACATGCTCAACTATGTTCATATCAGCATTATTCATAATAGTCAGAACCTGGAAACATCCTAGATGTCCCTCAATTGAAGAATGGATAAAGAAAATGTGGCACATATACACAATGGAGTACTACTCAGCAGTAAAAAAAAACAATGATATCATGAAATTTGCAGGCAAATAGATGGAACTGGAAAACATCATCCTGAGTGAGGTAACCCAGACTCAGAAGGACAAACATAGTATGTGCTCACTTATAAGTGGATACTAGATGTGAGGGAAGGAATGGCCATTCTGCAACCCACAGCTCCAGAGAGGCTAGCTAACAGGGAAAGACCCTAGAAGGGAAACATGGATGACCCAGTAAAAGAGAAGTGGATGAGATCTACATGAGCAGACTGGGGGTGGGGGGATGGCAGAAGGCAAGGATAGAGGGATGAGAACAGGGAAATGGGACAGTTGAGCTGGAATAGGGGCAGAGTGGGAGGGCAGGGAGGGAGATACCATGATAGATGAGGACATCATGTGAATAGGAAGAGGCAGGGCACCGGGGAGGCTCTCAGGAATCCACAAGGATGAC